CTTTTGAACTTTATCGACAAAATATTACAATTTTTATTGATATGTTGTATTAGAATCAATCAATGAATTAGAGCAGCCATTGATGTAGGCTTTATGCAACTTATTAACAAATTCCTTGTCGTTTTGAATAAGGTAAGTAAAGGCCTGCACAAATTGCGCAGAGTTAAGTGGAAAATATGGTTGATCTGGCTCCGATTTGACACTGGGCACATCAAACATAGTCGGCGGCATCAGCGCCGGCTTGGGTTCCGGCTTATCACCGACGAGTAGCCTTCTGAGACACTGTTCAGCTTCATCAGTTGAAATCAATGCCGATCCTGATGGTGATTCATCTATATTTTTATCAAACTTAAGCTCACTTAGGAAAGAGTTCGGTTTGCCCACTGTATTTCGAGCGGCAGACGATGTTGTTGCCGTTAAAAATGGTGATAGTGGACATTGCGAAGAGCCAACAAATTCGCTATCCCTTGTAGAGGCCTCGATGGGCGTCACAGATCGCTGTTGCTTTTCTAGCTGATCTACCGAAAGAGGCTGCGGTCGATTCAACTGTAAGTCCACTGTTGCTTGCTTCGCAGACTCGAAGAACTTCATAACATTGCGCGAAGTCACGTTTTCTGGCTGATTAACTGTGGGTCCAGGCTGCGTCTGGTTGTTTAACTGGGCATTATATTCCTTTTGCGCCTGGCTGAGCATGTTAAATATACTCGAGCTACCAGCTGGCTTAGAACCTGACGATATTGATGCCGTTTGCTGCTGCTGCCCGTTACTTGCTTTGTTTAGCAGCAAACTATTTACAAGGCTGCTAATTCGATCGCACTCGTCGCTATTGTAGAACCAGAAGCCACGGATGCGCGACCGCTCGTTGCGGTATAGCAGAAATGGTGGCTGCGATTGCAACTCCAAGCTGCCAGTTATTGGCTCCACGAATGACGTCGTGTTTAGTCGATTGTTAATGAATATGCTATGAAATGGCTCCGCATTGCGGTGGTAAATAAAAAAAGCGCCTTCAACATCCGTTTTCTCCCACTCATTCTGCTCCGAATTGAAGGTATAAAAAGCAACATGTGATGACGAATCGACAATTTCTTTTGCGTATGGATCAATTTTCTTGATAGCTGACAAATTCATGCGAGTAATGCTTTCGTCCGCCATTGTATATAATTTAAAACTATTATTGTATTCAAAGATTCAACTAGCCTCTTTTAAACCCTAGAGATGGACAATGCGCGATTACCTTTAATTAATCATCAAGTACGATGGGCCT